TTTGATCTTCCGCCGCCACCTGGTGACCAACTTCAGAGTGGAGAAGAAAGCAGAGGGGTGAGAAATGAAGTGACCACTTTGCCTCTGGAGCCCAAATGAGGACTTAGCTCCCGGTTGTGGTGGGAATGCATTCTTTCACAGAATTCTCCCAAATTAGTGCCTAGCCCCCAGCAAAACCTTTGGCACCCTCCACCAAGTCCCCCACCCACCGCAATTGGTCTTCTGCGTGGCTGCTCTCAAAGGAGCTGAGACTGAAACCTGAGGTTGAAGAGCCACCTACTAGGTGGGAGGATTCTGGATTCCACAGGACTTTACTTTTGTTTAAACTCAGAGCATTAACTTTAGTTCAAATAGGCAACGTATCTCATACTCAGTGGCAAACACACCACAGTAGACACACACACACACACACACACACACACACACCACACACACACATGGAAATACACATTTGCATGCGTTTCATCCCAGGAGTGATTAGTTCCGTCCCTGATTCAATCTGGGTAATTTTTCTTTTCTTCTCATCGTAATGCATAGAAATTGAGTTTTTCGGGTGTCTTTGGCAAGAGTACACACCCCATTATTTTTTTTTCTTACTTTTTTGGAATGCTGTTGCCAATTCGATTGATGTGGTGGTAGCACGTTTCACCCAATCATTGCATGAAAGCACAGATATGCCATCCACAGACTACTTAGGACTTTGTTATAGAATATATTTTTTCCTTTTAAAATAAAGCCTGTCTTCAAGTTTCTTTCTTCTTCCTTTTTTCTTCACTGTGAGGAAAGAATGTACTATGTTTCCATGAAGCGGAACTTCCATTTTGCTTCCCGTAGTCTATTTGTCATCTTCCCCGCTCTCCTGTCACACCCCCTCCAGTTTGTCATGTGGCACAGTCCTTTTCTGAGCTCATGCACTACTCAGCTCACCCTGACAATGGCAGTCATGAACACATGAGCCAACCACTTCTAGCCTGTTGTCTTTTCCTTCAAAGCATAAGGAGGACGTCTCATTTCCTGCCTCTCAGATTTTGTCAGCAGATAGAGCTTTACTGTAGTTTGCAGTTGCATGAGATGTGTTGCCCTCTATCCAGGGTGCAATGTGGCTTGGTATCAACCATGGACTGACCCCTAAGAACAATTTACCTATATAACTTTTCTGGAGGGGTGTGACCCTGGCAGCCTACGGAGATCCTGGGAATATCTACCAGAGGGCCCTGGAACAAGGATATCTGCCTGGGTGTGAGACAGACAACCTCCCACCCTCCATGCACCTCGTGGGCCAGGACATGGAAATCTCACAGGTACCCTGCCCCACGCAGAAGAGGAGGGGGCTAGCCTCAGAGGGTGTGGACAGTTCCTTGGCTCCTGGGGGCACTTCAAACTTATTGCAGACGGAAACCCCTTCTTCCTCATTTTCAGTCCAGCCAACACACTTGGTGACTAGAGAAACTTTACTTCCTGTTTTGATTTATATACTACATTTTTTCTTTTCATGTTACACAAGATGTGTATTTAAACAACCAGATCGTAGATTTGAAGAAGAACATATCTGGAATTTGTTCTGTTCTTTTAATTGTCACTTATCCTATGTGAGGACAGATTTGTTCTGTGTGTAACAGCTACATTTAAAAAGTTATAAAATTGTCCTTAGCGTTACAATGATATATTTTTAAAAATAAAATTTTCTAATTGAACAATGTATGCAAGGGTTATTCCCTTTTATTTTTTTCCTGCTCCCAACAAGCCTAAAGGATCATTATATTTTTTATATTGTTGTTGTTAAAGTCCTGGAATAGAGAGATAAACGGTGAGTGAGCAGCCCCTGGTGGAGAAAGGGAATCTTTTCACAGAACCAGTGTTTTCCCTCACCTGCCTTCATTGGAAATCACTCAACACCAGTGACCCCAATGGTCATTGGAAATCAATGATCATTGTTCATTCAGTACAAACAAACAAGCAAGCAAACAAAAACTATCAATATGTCTGTATAGCTACACCCGATAATTTATGTACAATAAAGGAATGAGGAACAGGAAAGTGAAGAATAGAGAAAGGGATGCTGGACCAGTAGACGTGATGGAACCATATTGCAATTTTCTATGTGAGAATGTCTGCTTGGTGTGTAGGAACAGAGTTCTGGGGTAAAGCAGTGAGTATGTTCTCAGTAGACACTCCCGTCTGCTTCTGGAACACATCAACTGAATCTTTGTCCTCCATTTCCAGTTCTGCAGATGTGTCTGTTTCACTAATTGGCCCCAGTCAAAGTGGAATCTGATCTGTGTCATGGACAAACTCTGCCTTTCACCAAAGGCTTCCACTCATTCACTAAGTAGTGTGCACCTCTTCACCGTCAACTGCACCCCAGGACCATCCTACCTGCCACCTTCAAATTCTGCCATAGCGGAGCCTGAAGACTCTCCAGCTGCAACTTCACCAAAGAGGTCCAGAGTGTGCATCAAACTAGTGAGCCAGCAGCTCCCAATGCCATAGGTGGAGGAGGCAGCAGAACCTTACTCGGTGTTTTTATCACCATCCCTCCAGCAATAGCAGCAGCAGCAGCAGCAACCACAACTACTATTTCTAATTGTGGTAATAATAATGATCACACTTAGAATAATGATGAATAACAGTAGTTGTAATTGCTGACATGCTTAGTTTATATATGTATTATTTGTAATGTTCTATAATTTACTTTTAGTAATATACACATTAATTGTGTCATAAATATCAGGACCTCAGAACACCCCACCTAATGAGTGATTCAAACCTATGAACCTATGGCTGCCCACCTGCTAGTGCGGGTCCTCTCACCACTCCACCCTCAGAGCTTCGACCTGTCTGGTCAATCTTTTGGTATGATGAAGTAGTTGAAGCAGTCATATGGTCTGATTGTGGTCTTGGCAAATAGCTTGACTTGTTAGAAATCAAGGACTGACTTTAAGACGTACTCAGCTGTTTGGCTAAATTGTAGCAGGAGAAAATGTCTTCTCGGCAGATCTACCTTTGTGTCTCTTGCTTTCAGAGTAAAAGGTTGTTTCAGGCACAGTAGTTTGAGTTCATCTTTATTGAAAATCATCAACAGCCTACAAATACTGAAAGGGGACAAAAATAATTTGCAGACATATTGAGTCTATTATAAGTGCTTTCAAATCTCTCCTATAAGAAATGAAAAATAGAATGTTAGGCCTTGATTTCTTAAACCCAGCCTTCAGCCATTTCCCCAAATTATTCTAAATGTTTCCAAGACATTTCAGAAGCATTCTCTGGTGGGGATTATTTCCAATTGTGAAGAGTACTAGAAGGATGAGAATCAAAAGGAATCTTTCTTCTATTGCAGAAGAGTCAGTCTCCAGGATCTCAAAGGCCTAGGGAAGCTGCTTGAGTTGTGAGGTCCATGGAGGTGCATGGTCTTTGGAGTCAGACAAAGTTGATCCTGAGTTTCAGTCCAGCCCCTTAGTAGGCCCTAAGGACTCCCGCGGTGCTGTCACAAGCAGTGCTGCCTTTGGGAGCTCCTAATCTCCTGCCTTTTCTCCCTTCAGTGTGGGAAAGGGGTTTGGTCAGCCGGTGGTGTCAGCAGCCCCACCCCATACCCATTATCTACACCTAATCTGGTGGCAGAGAGGCCGCAGAGTGCAGCGATTGGAACTGGGTGTGAGGGTGAGAGGCAGCCGGGCCCCAGGCCGAGTCAAGTGCATGGAATCCTGACTGTCAGCAGTCAGGGATCTTTCTGCTTTTGGGAGGGAAGTATTTGTTCCACGCGTCTCACTGAATCAGGCACAGAGCCTAAACTGTCCCAACTGGGAGTTTAACCAAGCTAGATGGGGGCCCAGGGCCCTGGCCCAGTCTGACACCCACCTCCTCTCCCACCTTCTACTCAGCGGGAAGACTAGGAGAATCTGAAAGCAGAGGTGCTGCAGCGCCACTAGCTCCAAGACTCCAGAAAAACAGGGATAGGGCATTCTGGCAGGTCAAGGTGGACAGAATACTTGAGCTCAGGAGTTGGAGAACTGACTACTAACCTGTAGCCCCAGCTACTTGGGAGGCTAAGGTGGAAGGATCGCTTGAGCTCAGGAGATCGAGACGAGCCTGGGCAACATGGTGAAACCTTATCTCTACAAAAAATACAAAAATCAGCCGGGCGTGGTGGCATGTGCCTGTAGTCCCAGCTACTCAGGTGGCTGAGGTGGGAAGATTGCTTAAGCCCTGGAGGCTGCAGTGAGCCATGATTGCACCACTGCACCAGCGTGGGCAATAGAGTGAGACCCTGTCTCAAAACCAAAACAAAAACCAGAGGTAGGGCTGAGGAGTCCATGGCCACTGAGCCTGAGCCAGCAGGGCCCAGAGGAACTGAGCTCCCAGCCCTGTCGCTGCCAAGGACCCTTCTTCCCTGAGCTTGAAGGGATTGAGAAGGAGAGACAGACGGACAGTCAGCGGCCCCCTTGCCAGTGATGCAGACTCCAGGAGACGGGGGCAGAGTTGTAGATTAGAAGAAGAGGCCAGCCCCTCTTCCACGTTCCACCACTGCCCGCAACATCCTCCTGGGACCCCAGCCTGCATGCCCCTATAAGATGCTTTTGTACTGGTTCAGTGTATGTATCATGCAAAGGCCTAATTGAAAACACGTGAATGAAGTGTACAGTCTTCTGTTCCCAGCTGAGGGGCCCCCTCCCACGGTGGCGTTAGCAGTGGGGTACAGTGTGGTACGGGATGAGGGTCTTTCTTGCTTTAAAGGTGTCTAAATGTACTTCTTAATTAGCTAATAAGATGTCTTATACAAGCAGAACCAGGTAAGGGAAAGAGCAAGTGCATTTCAAGTCGCAGCTCACCCCTTAATTAGCTGTAATACCCGCGGCAGGCGGCCCCACCTCAATGAGCCAGTCTCCCTTTCAAAAAAATAAAAAATAAAAATAAAAAAACCCACTAATAATGAGGGGGCGGGGCATGGAGCTTTATCCAATCAGGGGCGCTGGAACGGAAACCATCCAATCAGGAGTGAAGCCGGAGAGCAGGGGCGGCTTCCGGGATTTGGCGGGGGCCTTTGTCGGCTCCAGTTAGAGGTCGGGTCTCCTCATCACCGCCTTGAGTCTTTAGTTCTGGGAGGCCCAGGCCAGCTTCACGTTCTGGGAATAAACAGCCTCTGTTGTTCTGTGACCTGCAGGCACTGGGAGATCCGTAGCTAAGACGCCAGAGCATCCCGGAAGCTGGGAAATGGTGAGTGTGCGGGGTCGGGGGTCCCCAGAGTGGGGAAGGGGGTGGTCGGAAGCGGCCAGAACCCGCTGTAGGGGCACCCGGGCCTCCCCGCAATCGGCTCCGGGGTCTGGTCCCCGAGTCCCAGCGGGCGCAGCTCGGCCCTCGGTCTCCTCCGCTGCAAGATGGCGGCCAGGCCGGCAGCCGAGACCCCTCGCGTCCTGTCCCGTCCCGTCCCGACCCCGCAGAGCGACCTCGGCCCTGGCCAGAGGCTCCGCGCCGCAGCCCCGCGTCACCCCCAGATTGTGCGGTGAGGACGGGAGCGTCTCAGGGGTGACCCAGGTTCGGTGTGTGGTTCGTGTGTGGGGAGAAACTGTGCCCCATGGGGTCCTCAGTCACTCCTTTCTCCTATTAAAAATTAAAGGGAGTCACTGTTAAAACGTTGAAGAATTTGAGCAAATAGCGATTTGTGACGTGGGAAACCTGCAGTCCTGGTTTGTGGTTCGGAGGTCCCCACAGGGGCTTGAAGGAAATGTTTTTTATAAGGTGCGTGAGTAAGCGGACCAAATTAACCGATGGGTTACAGTTCTGTGGTTGCCTTATTTAGACTATGCAGGTGGAGGTGAATTGGAGCTTTGTGGTTCGTTAAGTCTGAATTTTGTTTTTCCCTAAAGTTGTAATTTACAAGAAATGCATGTGAGTTTGGTTTTGGTTTTTCTCCCTAGAAACCTGGGGCACTATAACCACTTCCGTATAATCGCCTGCTCGTTAATCATCTTAACACTGCCCAGGGGAACTGGTTTTCCCCTGCGGTTTCCTAACGTGTGTGGCACGCAGTCTCAAATCCACCACTGTGTTCTCCCAGTCTAACTGGGCTTGCAGTAAAATATTAAATTTCCAGTTCCTTCCCGACATTTCCAAAGGCTAACTTCCCCTCTCCAATTCACAACATTATTAACTACTGGTCATTTACTGTACATTTCATATAGAGTATTTTATTCATTAATCATGATTTCACAGAGCAGTGGATGAGACTTTTTTAAAGATTTGTGTTATTTTGGTATACATTTCACATGAGAGGAAAGAGAGAATAAAAAAGTCCCTGACACTCCACTGCAAAAAAATCTTTGTGCCTCTTTTTCATTCATCTTCCCTAGGCACAGATACGTTATCAGAAAGAATGTCTTTTGACTTGAGGTTTTGCACAGGGCCCTGTGTAGCCACCCTCTATCCAATCTTTTCCTGTTCCTGAATTTCATTACTGTCTGGGATGACTCAAGATGCCCACAGTGGCCATGTCTCCTGAAATGTTTAGTGACTGTCAGCCCCAGGTCCCTCCTGTTAGAGGATGGCCCAAGGTATGGAAGTGTAGCCCCCCAAGGGAGCAGCTGGTTGCCCTGGGGCTGAGAGAAATCTCCTGGGACACCCTTAACCTAAAAAGATAACCCTTTGGGACGTAAGAATTTTATTTCTTCAAAGCTAGTTTTCATCCCTTGGAGACACATTGCTGGTCAGCCAATTGTTTGCTGGTATTGAGAGTAAACAGTCACAAATGATTCCTGCCCCCGGATTCATTCAGATTTGTGAAGGGAGAAAAACTCCCAAAGGACCAAAAAACAAAAACCCCACCGCAGTGAGGTGCTGCAAACTTGGCTGCAGTGTCCGTGGGGGCACACACAGTGCAGGATCTCCTGGGAGGATGGTCCCTGAGCATTTTAATGAGCAGTATTGGGGTAGGAGAATGTCCCAGATGATACCGTGACCCGACTTGACACTTGAGCCAGTTATGTCTTGTGTTTCAATCAGCATTACCACTCCCTGAGTCTGCTGCCTTAGAAAGATTTGTTCATTTATTTCTACTTCAGTTTTTCAATTGGTGTAAATTTAATCAGTAGAGCTTGAAAGATAAAAAACATTTCCAAGGCCGTGAAAGGTGGATTTCAGAAAATTGAAATATCAAGTCATATAATTCATTGTTAAAAATTCTTACTATCTTTTTTTTTCAGCTGAGTGAGTGTAGTAAGTTTCTCAGGTTTGTTCTTTTTTTGAGAGTAATTTAAAACAATCTCAGGGCTCACCTTTTGGAAATGCTGCCAGGGAAAAGAAATGGAGAAAATCTTTCTTTCATTATTGGCTGTAGAAAGTGAATACATTTTCACAACAATGTGTGGTAGATTAATTGGTGAATTACATAGTTTCATCAAAACATCAGTTTCTTTTTTTTGTAGGGTGAAGAAGTTATGACAGTGGATATCTTTTTTCTTTATTCTCTTGTCTGGATGTTGAGTTTATTTTTTATTTTTTGCTTTTTGGAGACAGGGTCTCCCCTCTGTCACCCAGACTGAAGTGCAGTGGTGTGATTACAGCTCACTCAACCTCCTGGGCTCAAGTGATTCTCCCACCTCAGCCTTCCTAGTTCCTAGTAGCTGGGACTTACAGGGGTGCTCCACCATGGCTGGCTATTTTGTTTTTTCTTTTTGTAGAGATGTGGGTCTCACTGTGTTGCCCCCAGAGTGGTCTCAAACTCCTGGGCTCAAGCGATCCTCCTGCCTTGGCCTCCCAAAGTGCTGGGATAACAGACATAAGCCACCATGCCTGGCCTTGGATGTGCGGCTTTAATGCCGAACTTAGCACCTGCTAGAATTGTTTATATATATTTACTAAATGATCTGTTGTCATGGAAATAAGTGGCCTATTTATTGTCTGAAAGGGATAGATACTTTTGTATTTTCTGTTGAGGTATAAATTATAAAGGCGTTTCAGTTTCCTTTATTCTATAAACGCTGTTTGAGTAGTTTTGCTTTCTTCAAACACTGGGCATTTTCTCATTGAATACTAATTGAATAATCCTGACTGGGAAGCAGAAGCCTGAGCTCAGTGAGTGCAAACTAACCCAGTCTTGAGCCTGCAAGAAGAGGTCACTGAAGCCCAGTTAGTTCTTCCAGGGGAGTTTCCCCTGCACATGTCCCAGCCTGCTCACCCCAATCATGGAAGAAGCCCTTTATACTGAGAAGCTACAGAGCCCTGGAAAGCTGAAAGCTGAAAATCCACAGAAAGAGGCAGTTAGGGTTGGGAGGCTCTTTCTGAGGATAGAAATTGTTGTCCTGGTTTTGGTTTTTCTCCCTGGAAACCCAGGGCACTACAACCACTTCCATATAATCGCCTACTCATTAATCATTTTAACACTGCCCTTGACAACTGGTTTTCCCCCTGTGGTTTCCTAATATTTGGCACGCAGAGTCTCAAATCTCTGCCACACTGTGTTCCCCCAGATTAACTTGAGGCTTGCAGTAAAATATTAAGTTTCCAGTTCCTTCCCCACCTTTTACTTGATTTTGTCAAATAAAACCAATTCAGGTTTAGGTAAGAAGTTCCTTAATTCTAAAGGAGTACTGCAACAGGGGGAAAGCACCAGCTGTAAGATCTTTATGGATTTCAAAGGTTAGGCAGACAAAGACTTTCTTTCACAGGGAGGAGCAAACAAGCTCAGAAGGCAGGAGGGGAAGGGCAGGATTAAGATGCCAATATCAGATTCTAGATCAGAGAATATTTCACTCTTATGTCAGCCTGTTCTTAGGAGGGGCTTAGGGAGGGGTTGAATGTTGACCAGGCTGTGGGTGTGTCAAAGTCCAGCAACTTGGAGAAAAATATAAAGTTTGGTTGAGTAGTTTATTCTGAACACTGAAGACAGAACTGTTCAGCTGAGTCAGAAGGGGAATTTGGAGAGTCTGTGGCTTTGTGATGACTAAATCAGGGAGCATCATCGAAGTCATAATAGGGTGGTTTTTTGCAGTAAGCTCTTCTTGGAGAACACAAAAGATGGGGGATTTCTTTAATCACAGCTATTTACTAGGTTACTATTCCTGTCTTTTCCCACTGTTTTTTTTTTTTTTTTTTTGCCCTATATGTATTTATCTCATTTGGCTGTTCTGAACTGTATCCTTATGATAACCTGATAAACATAAGTAAAGCGATTTGCTGAGTTATTTGAATAGATCTTTGAAATGATTGAACTTAAGGATAGGGTTATGGGTGCCCTCGATTTACAGGCAGTAGCTTGGAAGTATAGATAGTGCCCCAGGCATTGTGACTGGCATCTGAAGTGGGGGCAGTGTTGTGGAACAGAGTCCAGAACTTGTGGGGCCTGTGCTGACTCTGTGTGGTGTCAGAATTAAGTTGTTGGCACTCAGTTGATGTTGGAGGATTGGTTGGTGTTCAGCAAACTCTACACATTTGGTGTCAGAAGACAGACCTCACAGAGGCCTGGGTTGGAGAGAGACTCCCAAGTGTCTGGGGGAAGGGAGGCTCTGTTCTGCACACAGGTTGCCCCACTGTGCATTGTCCTTTGATTCCAGGTCTCCTGCTAGGGTGAGAGGGGACTGAAGACTGAGAGGAAAGGCGTTCTGAGAAGAGACCCCCTCCCCCACCCAGCTGCTACTACATGATTCCCACCCACTCCTGAACATGCCAACTAGGCATTGACATGTCCCCGTCCCTCCCAGGAGAAGGCTTGACTGTCAGGAATTACATCCATAGCACCTTTGCTTCCAGTTTCCTGCCAAAAACCCACTCAAGTGCCTGAGGACTCCTGGCTTGTTGTAATCCTAGACACTGAATCCGTAGCAGCGGCCTGGTTTCTCCATCAAACTAGGCTTGTGGACCATCCAATCATAATCTCATCTGCCTGCATGGACCCAGGAATATGTCAGAGCATAGCCCCACCTGGGCCAGTATCTGTAGCACAAACCAGTCCTTCCACCAACTTGGTACTACCCTCTGCTCATGGCTCGATAGCACCTTCCTCTGTTCTGCCTTTTACTTCCCCACAAGCCCCTTCTTTATGTGTACCCAGTGTTCCCAAGGTCACCCCACAGGTGCCTGAATCCAGCACCTATTGGAACTCAGATGTCCATGAGCTCAAGACCATGGCCCTAGACTTGGCTGTTTTAAGAGCAAATACAAATTAGAAATACATACAAGACTTAATCCTTCTTGAAAATAAGGAAAGAAATTTTTCTTTTTTTTTCTTAAAGCATTTACTTTAGAAAACTTTCATATGTAAATTATTTTTCTGTTTTACAATCTGTCTAAATCACTCTAACAGCTAAATAGGTCATTTGTCAGTCTTTTTGACTCAGTACTGCCTTTCTCTAAATGTAAATAGCAAAGAAGATAGAGCCGTATCCCACAGTTTCTCTAGGAGAGCAGGCATCTGGCTCCAAGTTGCAAATCTGCCTGTCACGAAGACATAAAGTTTATTTTTCCTTTGACTGTAGCCAATTAAAAACCACAGATGGCCTCCCAATTCCCAGGTGAATTTAGAATGAACTCTATCTGACGAATGGTGCTGTCAGGTCTTCTATTGAGGACTAATTATGGTGACTTTTCACCAGTGGGTGTTTTTCTAATCTCTTAGCAGGTTGCCTATCATGTCCTTTACATTCTGGGCTAATTATGTCACAAAAGAGTTTTCTTTCTTTTCTACCACTATGGATAGTTTTTCTGGGGTTGGAGATGATTTTATGATTTTCTTTTTCATTATATTTTTCAAACATTGCCCAGAATTACCGTACAGAATATAAACCTGTAAGGTGCCTGTAAGACTTCACTCCAGAGGGTCCTTTCCCTCTTTGATTTCTGTTCACAACCCACAATTGTGCAGCACAGTGCCCACTACTCCCAAAATCTGCAGGCAGAATGGTCTCTCTGCTTACTTGGAATCTTCAGTCCCTTCTACAACCGTTTGGCTACATTTCTATAAAAATAAGTTCACAGGGCATCAGTCAGTTAGCCATTCCAGCTCTGTCTTTCCATGCCCCTGGCATCTTCAGACCTGAAAGTGATTCAGAGACCATGGGGGCTGGAAACCAACCAGGCACACACACATGCATTGAGTAGGCCTGAGAATCTCAGCGTTCCCCTCATCCTCTTGCCCAAACGCCCATGAATGTGCAGAAGGCGCATGCCACTTCCCTGCCCCTCCCACACCTAAATATGCAGCTGTGAATTCTGAACCCAGGTCCTGGGGTTCTCCAGGATGTGTGAGAGCAGCCTTCCTGAGGGGCTGTCTCCTCTAGTTTTCTTCACAGCAACACCCAAGAATGCAGAGCCAGGTTGATCCCACCTGGAGTCTGCACATAAAGGCTGGTCTCCACCTGGGATCCACGAGACAGGGCCAGACTTTGGACTTAGGATATATAGAAAACCCAGGGAACGTTTTCTGCATTGTGAGAGATCAACATGGACTTTGTATAAACAGAATTTCGTGGCAGAATCTCTAAGTGTAAAGCAGCACCTTAGCAGAGGGAGGGAGCCATGAGTGAAGCTGTGCCTACCTGTGAGCTGTGTTACTGGAGTA